GGAACCGTGGCAGCCCCACAGGGCTCCTGCAGCAGCTGATCCATCCTTGGCTACCTTTGTCCCTGCGTGTCGCCACTCAGGATTCAAATCCCGGGCAGGTGAAGGTGGCTGGCCTCGCTGGAATCATGTGGTCAATACTGTGGTCGGAAGGGTGGAGGCCTGGGGAAGGCAGCCCCACATGAATCACGTGGTGGGTGGCACAGTTACTTGAACTAGAACAGGGTGGAGAAGTTTTCTAAACCTTCACATGCCCACTTCCCATCCTCAGATTCTCTACTTAACAAAACATGAGACAAGAGGCAAGAATGCTTTGTAGAGAAACACCCCCAAGCCAATCTGGATCCCAAATTATAGCTGTGATCCACTGTCTTAAAAGGAGAAAAAACATCCCCCTTATTTCCTTCACGGATTCTCTCCTTACATTTGGTAGAAAAAACAAAAGAGGAAAAATGTGCAAATTAAAAAAAAACAAAACACAGATCATTCTTTAGAGAAAGGCTAGAAGAGAAGGAAGTTAACACACACAGGGATTTTTGGTGGGGAGAAACACTGAGGATGCTGACACTAATGGTGTCTGTTTTTACATTAAAATAAGTCATTCTCCAGCTGGGATAGAAGTGTGGTCAGTGAGTGGAGAACATTGGTAAAACTTGTTATTTATTTTCAACTAAGAAAGGTCATTGAGCCATTGTCTAAGAGCTAGAATGGGTAGAACAACTGAATTTAGAAGCATATATTTTAATGGTCCTAATTATCTGCAGGCACCTAGTGGTTAGTTCAAGTATGGGAATTTATGTTTGAAATAATTTCTGTTTACATTGTTTCTGATTACAAAATTAGTATGTTTCACTATAAGAAATACAGAAAATACAGGAAAAAAAAGAAAAAAAGAAAAAAAAATGTGGAGAAAAAGAAACCCTTATGCATAGTTGGTGGGAATGTAAATTGGTAGAGCCCACTATGGAAAACTGTATGGAGGTTCTGCAAAAAATTTAAAATAAAAATACCATAAAAGCCAGTAATTTCACTTCTAGGAAATTACGTGAAGAAAACAAAATCACTAATTCAAAAAGATACATGTACCCCTTTGTTTATTGCAGCATTACTTATAATAGCTAAGACGTAGAAGCAACCTAAGTGTCCACTGATAGATGAATGGAAAAGAAGAAGTGGTACACATATATCATGGAATATTACTCAGCCATTAAAAAAGAAATGAAATCTTGACATTTGTGACAACATGGATGGATGCAGATTGTATTATGCTAAGTGAAATAAGTCAGATAAAGAGAAATACTATATGATTTTATTTAGATGTGGAATCTAAAAAGTAAAACAGACAAATAAACAAAACAGAAATAGACTCATAAACCCAGAGAACTGGTAGTCACCACAGAGCAAACAGGTAGGGGGATGGGTGAAATAAAGGAAGGGGATAAACAGACAATTATAAAAAAATAAGGTAACAGGGATGAAAGTACAGTATAGGGACTATTGTAATATCTTTGTTGACAGTAACTATACTGTGGTAAGTATATCATAATATCATAATTGTCAAATGACTACATGCACACCTGAAACCAATATAACATTGTATATCAACTAGAATTCAATTTTAAAAAATCTTAATACTAAGAAATATCTGTCACTACCATTTTCTTGCATATGTGCAAATATTAAGATTTAAAATACCAGTTTTCCTTTCAATGTAACAATTACATGTCCATTGTCAAAAAAATAGAAATACCAAAACATGTATTGAATAAAATAGACAATACTCATAATCAAACATTTCATGCAACTGGATATAGATATATGTTTTTCTTACATAAAAATAGGACCATGGTGCACATTCTGCTTTGTTACCTGCTTTTCTCACTTAAAGATACTATCTCATTTTATCAAATATCATCCATTTTCCACTGGTGCTCAACCAGAGGCAATTTTGCTCAGGAAACGTTGGCAATATCTGGAGATATTTTTGGGTGTTATGACTGGGGGCAATGTTACTATTGGCATCTAGCAGATAGAGGCCAGCGATGCTGTTGAACATCCTATTATGCACAGGGCTACCCCACCCAGCACCCCACCAATGACAAAAGAATTCATCACTCAAAATGTCAATAGAGCTGAGGTTGAGAAATCCTGTCCTTTTCCCCTGGATCTTCCCCCCTTTTTGGATAGAAGGGACTAGAGGAATGTTTCAGATACAGTGGCAAATAGTCAGGGTCCCTATAATCCCAATCCGTCTCACAAATACTGCAAATCCTTTGTCCTTTTAACTCCAAATCTTGCATGGAGAGTGATAGGTAGAAGCAACAAAACCTCCAGAATCTTCTGTAGTAAGTTTACTTACACTGACAAGTGTTCCTGGGAGGTCCCACAGGTGTGCAACCTCTGAGATGTTCTCAAACATGGATGCTTACACTGACAAACATCATTGACACTAGAAACCCTTCTGCTATTGTTTCCCCTTCTGATTACACTCAGTACTCCACCCAGTCTTTAATTTCTGTGCCACCCACTCATTTCATCAATTTCTGATAGCCAGTGATGTGTGAAGACCCGCCTCCTTGTATGACCATGGCATGACAAGGATTGAAGTCCCAGAATGCCTTCGTTGGCCCCTCTGCTATCTTTTCTTGGTGATAATCCTAATTATCAGGTGACTTCCTTCCAAACATGTATCAACCACATTATACTATGGGACACTAACTTTGTAAAGAACAAAGTTTCTTTGCTATCATTTCTTACTAACAAAGGTGTATACAGCTAACTTATTTTTTAAATGAAAGACTTTTCTCATTTGAGTCTACTTATTTATGACAGGCCATTAGTCTGTTTTAATTTCATGATATTCCACATCAATGTTAATGGCAAAATAGAATTCCATTATATGGATTATCAAAATATGTGAAATCTCTTAGTAAATATACCAGATATTCTATTTTTTCACTATTTTAAACATTTAAACAAGCATCTTTGTCTATATAGCTTTATGTAATGTCTAATTATTTCTCCATAATATATTCCTAAAGTAGAATTACAGATTCAAAAGTTATGGCCATTTTTTAGTATAGTTCAACAATATACAGAATAGTTTTAATAATACACCATATAATTATAATATACAATATAGTTGTAACAATGTACACCATTTTAATAATATATAGTATAGTTGTAACAATGTAGAGACCCATCAAACTTGGGTGAAATTCCTTCTTCCCCATTCATCCCCTACTCTGAGTTTCATCAATCTTTCATTTATATTTTTATTGATCTATTTGCTTTGCTATATCATCAGTCTTTCAGATCTTCATCAATCTATTAGGTGAAAAAAGTTAGGGTAGATGTGCATAGTTTCCATTTATATTACCATTTGTATCTTTCTGTAAAGTTTTTAAATTTTTCCTGAGTTAGTGTTGCATTTTTTAATTTGTAAGACTTCTTTGTCTTTTCCAGAAATACATACTGCAAACTTTTCTAGAAATTATTTTTAAACTTTATCTTATGGTGTGTTTTTCTATATAGAGGTTAAAATTTTTGTAGCCAGATCTACCAGTCTTTGCCTTTAGAGTACATTTTTTAATAGTGTCTAGCCTTCATGCAATGATTAATGTGTTCCTACCCTCCTTCCATTTCTACCTGCGAATTTGGGGAGGGGGTGAGAGATAAGGTTAAAGTATGGCTTTAAGTGTTTGTTTCTGTTTGTCTTGGCTTTGTTTTGTTTTGTTTCTTTGTTTTTGTGATTCCTACTTGTCTCTGTACCCTTTATGGAAGACCTTGTTTTTCCTCATTGACTCTAAATGACCCTTTCTCTACCACTTACGTGTCTAAATACAGTGCCAGCTAACGTGTTATTATATGAATAAGCAACACTTTCATTATTCTTCTGTTTCATTATTTCATACATTATTTTTCCCCAAAGCCTTTATGCAAAACAAAAACACAACCAAATAAACCAAAAAGAAACCTCTATCGATTTCTCTTATAAGTAAGTTCAAATTCTGATAACTTCAAGGGGAAATTGACATCTTTTCAGTATTGAGTTTTCTTCAGCAATGCTTCTATTTAAATATTACAAATGGTTATAAAGAAGTCATCATAACTATGTAACACACCTATTGTTTAGGCAGAAAAAGTAAACTGTGGTGGCAAAACGATGCCACATGTATCAGATATGCTTGTATCTCAGGCCTCACTCTCCTGGTCTGCACCTCCAAATGCCTCTGAGCGCTCTCCATGACAAAGCGCCAGGACACATTAATTCCCTACAAGCTCTGCCTTCCACTCAACCCAGACTAAGCCAAAAAACCCAATATGCACTATGCTTCACTAATATTACCAGGGAAGTGAAACCTAAGACCATCCTGAGGCATCATTATAAAGCCACCAAATGACAAATGCCAACAAGTATAAGAAGGTAGGACCCTGTCTTTCAACCACTTGAAAAAACAGCTTATATTATCCAGCAGGGAGGAAAATGTCCATACCCCATAACCTGCAACCCCACTGCTAGGCATATACATACAAAAACACTTGCATGTGTACATCAGGACATGCACTCAGAATGTCTACAGCAGCATAATTAACAAAGCCACTTGCTAGAAACCATCCATATGCTCAACACTAGAGGAGTTGAATATACTACTATTTACATAGTAAATATTCAAATAATTCAAGTAAATAGTAGTATATTCAAATAATAGAATATTACCCAGCAGTGAAAATGAATGAACTACAACCATATGCAATAATGTGAACACATGTCGCCTCCATAGTGTTGTGCAGAAGGAAAGACACAAAGGAATACATATGGGAAACTTATATAAACTTTAAAACCAGGAAATAGTAAATAGTATTTTGGGGGGATACATATGCAAGTAAAAGAAAAGCATATAAAGAAAAGTAAAAGAGTGAATATCACAAAAGGTAGGATAGTGGTTATTCCTAAAGGGGAAAGCTGGATACACTCAAGGATAGGCACGTGGCTTATGGAGTATCAGTAATATGCTTTATTCTTATTCTCAGCAATGGCAACATGTGCATTCACTTCACTGTTATTCTTCCAGGTATATACATTTCATAGGCTTTAGTACATGTGGTATATTTCACAATTTTTACTGAGAAGTACCCAGCCCACCACAGTCTTCCCCAGGCATCTCATCAGATGTGAGGCACCTGTTCCATCCACCTTCTTCTTCACACATGGAGTCAGACTTTTCAATCTAATATAGGAGAAACACCAGAAATAATTAATCCATAATTCTTTGGGTAATGCATACATGGTTGAAAGAAAGGCAATGCAAGCAGGCTCAGCTCCCCAAATAAATGATCTTCTTAACCCGAAAGTTCTCCAGATTTGGGGCACACAAGCAGGATTACTGAGCAGGATTACTCCCTCTCAGTGAAAGGATTGTGAGGGTTCTGGTCTCGGGTAAATCAGTTACCCACTACAGAGCTTCAGTGGCCTACTCTGGGGGCTCAAAGACCTGCCTCCTCCAGAGGCAATTTTCGCATCTTAGACATCTCCTTTCTGGTTAAATTTATTCATGGCTTCAACCAGATAGGATAAGCTAAAATATTTTTCACTTGCAATAAACAAGAATAAAAGTCATAGGTATTACCTCACTTGGGTTTCTTGATTGCAAGCTACAGAAGCTGCCTCTTGTTTCTAAAATGAAAAAAAGGAGTTTATGGCAACAATTTTAGGCATCTTACAGAGTTCTTGGGAGTCACAGCCAAGCTAATAAGCTTCCAGAAACAATGTCTGATGTTACCCTGCAGCATCACTGGCTTCATGAGGAGCCAAGAACCACTGCTATTGCTATCTATCAATGCCACTCCTAGGACAGAAAATCAGGCATGCAGTTGTGGCCACCCTAAAAGCTGTAGCCTCTGCTGTCACCATAGTGGAGTCCATATGACACCTCCTTTTCAAGTTGCTCACCACCAAATCGAGGTCTCATATGAGATGTGTCTCACTGGTAAAACTTATGTCATGCAGCATACCAGCTCCAGGGGAAAATAGGAATGAGTTTTCTGGGTTCTACCAACATCCTGGGCAGCCAGAAATCATGAGCAATGTCTCCTTTGTGGTAGACATCCATGCTCTTTTGCTTAAAAACTTTCTGTCTGGTATAACTTATGGAATAACAAAAATTCAGTTACTGCCAATTTCTAAGTACATGATTGATGATATTTTTAACTCTCCAGAAAAAGCATGAAATTTCACCATCTGTTTTGCTCTTTTGTCCCCTGTGGGCAATAAATTTTACAGAGTCCCCATGATTCAGAGGAAACAGAGGTGGGTCTTTTTTCTGAGCCTGTATGCATATTTTATATCTGCTTTCCATATCCTTTAGAAGGGGTTTAGTAACCAGACATGTCCAGTTCAACCATTTGGAAGGAAGTGGTTGGCGTACGAGAGTCTTGCAGTGGTGAAAATCCACCTTTGGGTGATCCCGTAATCCTGGAGTCTCAGGATGAAGGCTGGTGGAGGGTGGTCACAGGCTGAATTGGATGAACTTTCTGGCTCGCAGCCATGTCTCTCCCTCACAAGCTGTTCCATTCTGAAGCTGTCTTAAAGAATTCCTGCTGCTTTGGAGAGGAATTTAAGAGTGTGAAAGGCAGGCTACTTTTTTTTCTCTATTCTAGTAAGTAATTTGAGATATTTGCTCTCTACACTGGAGACCTCCAGCCTCAGAGAACAGCATCCCCACACATTTAAAATCTATTTTTACACAGGAACTTAAGACACCTGGTGCGAGTGACACCTGATGGGTGACATGGCAGGGGGCAGAGGAGAAGAAGACACTGGAATTTTTTTTCTTAAAACAACTTCAAGCAATTTTTTTTCCTTTTTTTTGGTATGTTATTATCATTATGATTATTACGTTTTTACCTTAGAAACTGGAGTTCAGAGGTTATCATCAATTCAAGTTTTAAAAATGTTTTCATGATAGGACTTCAGATACACAGGAAATTTTTGTTTTATTTTGTGTTTGAAATTTCAAAGCACTTAGGCAAAAGCTTTGAGTTTTGTGGACTCCTTGCTTTCTGTAGTATCTGATTTATATGGATGGGTGGATCAGGGTGAGCTTAAAGGGGTGGGTCAGTCTGCTTGTGGAATGGACAGGACTTCAGATGACGCCATGGCACCTGGGACAGCGGAGACTGAGAAAGGACTGGATGCATTCTGAGAGAATATAGGGTACCCTGATGCTTGTTTTCCTAAGAGAGAATCTTCCCATCTCCCCTTTTCAAAACTTTGAGATATAATGTCAGTGTTCATTGGAAGTCACAGGCTTTGCATAAAATATTAAAACCACCTCCCCCTTATGTTCTTGAAAAATATATTGAATCCTTCAGGCTCAGTTAGAAATGAGAAAATGTGTTACCTAATGAGGTCAGCCATGACGTAGGAGTAGGAAGCCAGTAGATGCTTCTGCTCTGGAGATTTTAAGAGGAGGCAGTTACCAAATGAACCAAAAACTGATTGTGAAGCATTCAAAAATCCATTCTATAAACATGGGAATTTAACATATGATAAAGTCACCGTTCCAATTTCACTGGGAAGGATGGATATTTTAGTTAATTTAGTTGGCCCAACTGCCTTCCTGTCTAGAAGAAATAAAAATAGACCCCTTTCTCACACCAGATGAAAACAAAAATAATGGGTGGATTAAAGATCTAATATTTTTAGCATAAGAATATAGGAAGACAGTATAGGAGACTACATGCATAATTTAAGGGTAGGTAGGGAAAGTCCTAAGTAATACAAAAAACTAGACATTACAAAAGAACTTGACCAACGCACATCAGAATGAAAAGCTGTAGAGCAAAACTGCCATAAACAAAAATGCATTTCAGGTGTTAGACCGGGAAATATTATTTGCCATCCAAATGGTCAATATTCCTGATATGCCAACAGTGACAACATATTGGTAAGCAAAATACAAAATTAAGCAAAATATATTCATTACAAATAGTGCCTAAACTAATGAAAAATGCCTAGTATCACTCTATGTTAGGAAATTAAAACAATGAGATGTAATTCTTCACAAGAAAAAAAGTTATGGTATTTTTACTGTATTTGTAGTATAATATTTCCCAAGGAAGGAAGGCAGGCAGGCCCCATCTACAGGCATACACATGTTTTGGATGATATGCACTAAAATGTTAATTACCTGAGGGTTAGGAGGAGATACTGAGCCAAAATAAAAGAAATTTAATGTTTCTCTTCAGGTACCTTTGTAGTATTTTACTTATCCTAATCAGGATTTATTATTTTTGTGATTTTTAAAAAATCCAACAATGAAGCTCTGTCTTAAAATTAAATGGGAGATTGACTGTTATGATGAATTAGGACAAACAGTCAAGGAAAATCTCCAGAGTTAAGGAGAATCTCCAGACTCTGGTCTGGCCAACTGATCAACTACACTGTGCCATTCATTAAGGTAAAGACATTCTGTTGACACTAAACAAACAGTTTCATGTAATAAATTCTATTTATTTATACCAAGGGTAAATATCAGTCTACAAGCTAAGATTTGAGAAACATTACTTTGTTTCTTTTAAATCAAGTAATTTTGACCCTGAATTCTTCCACCACATGAGGCTGAGGGGACACTCTACCTGCACCATGACTGGACCTTATCCCCATCTAATGTCTCACCAGATACTGGAAAATGGCAAAGCTGCCAGAGTTATTACCTAGTGTGGGAAAGGAAGCCTGGGGTTGGAGACCGAAGGTGTGGGTGGAGGCTGGTCTGCCACCTTCCAGAGGATCTTGGGCATGTCGCTGCAACTCTCTGAGCCTTGGTTCCATCATCTATAAAACAGGATTGATAGCATCTGTTCGCATGGCTCACAGACATGTCATGGGATCGTGGCTCTTTAACTCAAAACCTTGTGCCTTTACCACCCTGTTAAAATGATCTGCGCTGAAGCTCATGGTGACCCAGGACTTGGTTGAGTGGCTGCCAACTGAACTGTATGAAGAAAGCTGAGATTGAAAGAATAACTTGTTTACAATGAAAATATCTCAGAGACTCGGGCAGAGCTGAAGGAGCGGGAGGATCAGGGTGACCTGGAATTCAAACCTCAGAAAGTTAAATCATCAGAAGCCTCAATAGATTATTTGGACTTAAGATCTCTTAATAGCTCAGTGCTTCCTTCAATGAAACTGTTTCACAGAATAGTTAGTTCTTAGAAAAGAGGAAAATGATAAATTATCTTGCTTTTCTTTCTATTTTTTTGCACATCACACAGAAGCTCTTGCAGACTGTCTAAAGACTTCTTTTTAAAAAATATTTCTTGGGTAGCTCTTTAGAGAGATGTTTATCATCCAAATCCTTCAACCAAAAGTCTAAGAAAATGAGGAGATGATTTATGAAATGTTCAATGAATGTCTGTAATATCAATGGTTGTGTTTACAGCAGTACCATTTCCCTGGGCTCAGTGGGAATTTTCTGGACAAGGGCACCCTGTACTTACAGTATTTGAATACAGTGCTTTGTCTATTCTGTAGAAGTAATGTCACTGAACTGTGTCATATTGTTTAGGATATAAGAGCCCTCATTTTATCCTAAATTGGCCAACTATTAACTGTGGACATTGGACGAGGGACTCTCCCTAGGTTTTTGTTTACCCTCATGGCAAATAAGGCAATTCACCAACCTGGGATTCAGATCATTACTTCCTGCTATAACATGATGGTAGAAAGTGCCAGCTAGTGGATGGATTTTTGCTTTTAAGCTGCTTGTCTAGACATTTCACTTTGTGTTTCCGTGCAACTTGCAACTTCTGGATATCATAGTTCGACTTCAATACCACTGAAATGTAATTATGCATTGCATGTGTTAGAGAACTGTTGATTTGAAACTGAAATTAAACCGATTATACTAATAATTGACATTTACTCTTATTTTATTTAATAAGGTTTATTTAATAATAAGGATAGCTAAAACAGGCTCTAAGTTATATAGAAATTCCAACCGGCAAGCTACACTTCTTGACAAGTAACTTCACGCTACACTTCCTCATTCACTGTGACCCACTAGCACAAGGGTCAGTAACGATGCCTCATGGGCCAAATCCCATATGCTCCTTGTTTCTATAAACACAATTTTTTTAGAACACAGCCACTGTTGTTTCTGTACATATTATTGATAGCTGTGTTCATGCCACATCAGCAAAGCTAACCAATTGAGACAAAAACTAATGGTCTGCAAAGCCTAAAATATTTACTATCTGATCCTTTACAAAAAGTAAGTTTGCCAGCCCCTTCACTAATGTCTCTCACCTTAGTTGGAAGAACTACTGTACAGCAGAAAGGCTATATCCTTTGGGTCTGACATTTAGGGTCTGACTTAGCCAAGTGACTTCCCATGTTTCTTTTCCACAAAGCCTCTGTTTCAACCAAGATATCCCAGACCTTTTCCTAATTCTTACAGATAATATGTTCTTCCTCTCCTCTCTCCCCAGGGCAAAGCTAGTATAGTGGCCCTACGTAGTTCACAGTAACACAAATCCTTGCCTCTCAGTGTGGTCCATGAACCAGCAGCACTGACGTCATCTCAGGGCTTGCTAGAATTGCAGACTCTCAGGCCCCAACCCAGACCAAATGAACCTGAACCTGCATTTTAACAAGATCTTTAAATTATTTAAAACATTAATATAGAACAGTGCTATCCAATAGAACTTTCTACCATGATGGTAATACTCTCTCTCTACAATGCCCAATATGGTAGCCACTAGCCACATGTGACTATCAAGCAGTTGAATTATGGCTAGTGCAACTCAGAGCCTCAGTATTAGATTTTATTTTATTTTAATTAATTTAAGTTTGTGGAGCTACATCAGCCTGTGGCCACCATACTGTAGAGGGTTGCTGCTCTAAGCTGTGTCCTCATAAAAGGATCCCAAGTAGAACACTCGGAGCCCAGTCACCTGAGCATTCCAGCATCGGTCTGAGCCTAGAAGCAGATACACCTTATGGGACATGCAGTAAGCTTCCTGTGGACCAAGATAGGCAGGGACATTGACTATGAATGGGAACTCAAGGGCCAAATCTTCCCAAGGGCCCAAGATTGGTCTCAAGTAGTTGATGAGACATGGGAAGGATCAGGTCTAAGAATCTACTCCAGGAGGGTGGTAGGCAGAGGCAATATCTCCATCATGCTGGTATATCCAAGTAAGGAAGCCAGTCCATACAGGCTTATGGACCAGAAGGCCCCAATCGCAAGGGTGATAAAGGCCATCCTGTGTCATCTTTTTATGGGTGTTTGCTGTTGCTAAGGCCTTTAGGGGAGGAGGAACTTATGCTAGGGTGTGCAGGAAGTCCATGGCAAAACGAGGTGTGAACGTAGGTCGTCTTTTCACAAAATCATGATAAGCATTTCCACCTCACAACAGAGCAAAGACCCCCTCTGTCTAGTCTGGCTCAGAGTCTGTATCTTCACTGAGACTGGGACCCGACCACCTTCTCCTCAATGCCCAGTGACTCACACATCCTTATGCTCATGGTCTCGGAACTGCTACTGCAGAAAGCTGAGGCATGCTCTGAGGTGCCTGATTCTTATCTCTCTTGGCTCAAACTCGATTTCCCAGAAGAGCTCTGCCTGTCTTTAGCCCAATCTATCCATTTTTAGGGCTTCCATAACAAATTACCACAAACTTTTTGGTTCAGAACAACAGAAATTTGTTCTCTCACAGTTGCAGTGGCCCAAAGTCCAAAACCAAGAGCCACACTCCCTGTGAAGGCTGAGAGGCCATCGCCTTGTCCCTCCCAGCGGCTGCCGGCTCCCAGTGTCCCGTGGCCTGAGGCAGCCTCGCTCCAGGCTCTTCTTCCATCTTCACAGGGGCTTTTTCCTTTTCCATCTTCTAAGGAACATCTGTTGTCATTGGATTTAGGACTTGCCCTAATCCACGATGATCTCGTCTTGAGATACTTTACTTATATCAGCAAAGACCCTATTTCCAAATAAAATCATATTCACAGATACCAGAGGTTAGGATTTGGACATGTATTTAGAGGCCATTATTCAACCCAAAACACCCAGGGTCCAGGATCTTTCCAAAAAGCCTCTGTGCCTTCCCTTCTGTGGATTTCAGTATCTTTCTCTCCTGGTATTGACCTGCCTGTCCGCCAAACACATCGCAGGGGCTCCACAAAGATTGCTCCCTGGAGCAGGGATGGAGAAGGCCCCTGAAAGAATATGGAGTGACAGCATTTCACTTTAGCTGTGCAGCCTAGCGGCATGGGAACTTCCAGGGTGCTGGCCCATTCCTCCCAGCCCTGCCTGGGACATTCCATGGCACAATGTCATGCAGAATGGATATTCCCTAATATTGCCCCATCAGTTTGGTCCCAGACCTACAGTCCCCACTGAGTGTGCTCTTATATGCACCAGGAGAATACTCAGAAAATGCCTCATATTCACCAATATATCTAATATTCTCCATTGTCTCCCACCCACACTCCCTCCATCAAAGCAGACTCCCCAGATCCTAAAGGAGGGGCAGGCCAAGGTCAGGTACACAGACTGGGAGTGGGCCGGACTAAGACACTTGGCCTGGGGAAATTATGACACCCCAGGCTAAGCCGGTCAGGATCTTTCAAGGAGATATGAACTAGGCCTAGAGACTGAGCAGACTGATGGCAGATGGGCACTGCCACTGGCTGTGAGGTCTTGCACCTGCCGGATCAGTCGTCAGTTGGCATGGTGGCCATCCTGGGCCATGTGCAAGCACAGGAAGCCTGCCTCCAGTGGGGCTGATGTGCAGAAAGATGCAGACACGAGACCATTCAGTCTGAGAGCAGAAGAGCAAGAGAGAAATGCCTGACAACTTTCCACGTTCCTCCCTTCCTACGCTTTATTTTTGAATATGTCCATTATTTTTCCATGAACATTCTTTACACCCCAACAAGCCTTAGCAGGTTTCTGTTTCTTGTAACCCAAAACATTTCTGGTTTATATTCTGGTCCCCTGTGAAAACCAGCCCAATGGGAAGAGTATCTTCTTAGAAGGAGGGATTCAATTAGTTGTTATTGAAAGAACAAAAAAGAAAAAACAACAAGATCCAATGGACAGACTGTTCCAGGGCCATTGTCATTTAACAAATTGGCATCATAGTCTATAAATTAATGGCTTGGGTGTTTTGTCAATAAAAATTATTCTTCCCCTCAAGAGCCTCATCGTTTGTGGATGAGTTCATGAAGCTGTGTTCCTAAATCTGAAATTTGAGGTGGTAGCCAGAGCAATCGCAGGACTTGATTAAGCATCTTGGCGGCTCTACATATACTGACAACACCTGCTACAGGAGGCTGTGCCAATGAGCGCAAATGAAAATGGGGAGGAGGGAAAGACAGAATAGCATTTGATCTTAGATAAAACTAGTCCACCTAAGGACCAGATTTAGACTTTTCCATTTGGGTATTTGTGCTTTGAGGATATGGGAGGGATATGATGCCCATGATAATATTTTCCCTGTTCGAAGCTGTCCTTTTATCCTCCCCCAAAGTTAATGAGGAACAGAGAGATTCAAAGGAAATACCCAACCACAGTAATGGTAGATACATAACAGGTTATATTGTCCATTTTTTATGGAAGACATTGAAGATCAGAGAAAAATGGTTGGAAATTTTTGTTTTCTATACAGTTAAAATGCATTTGGAGAAAATTCTGAAATGTCACCCTTTAGTGCCCTGTTTTCAACGTTTACATACCAGGCAACGTTTACATACCAGGCAACGTTTACAAGGGTGGGAGGAGGCCAGGAGGGGCTTGATCCCTCACTGCCAGTTTTTCCAATGTGACATTATATAACCAAGGTGCATTAAAGTATCTATCGTGGCAAAAACATGTAGAATTTCAAAGAATTTGCTAAGCCTTAAATAATCTTCTATTTTTAGCCTAACCACTATAACTGAATTTTCTTTTCTCTTTTTCTCAATGGGTATGAGTGTCTTTCTATGAACATTACTTGATCTCACTGGTAGTCTTGAGAAATGCGCATTGATGAGAAAAGTAAAGACTTAAAAATCCTAAACACATGGATCGAAGTCTTAGCCTAAAACTATATGTCAGTTTCTTGATATGCATAATGGCCATTGCAAAGCCTACTTATTAGGTTGATCACAGATAGTCTGCGGTTCTCAATGTTGGCCTCTCACTACAATCACCTTTTAAAATCTAGGAATGCCCATTTCCTGTTGTAGACCAAATTGACTCAGATTCTGTGAGAGTTCAGGCCTGGGAAGCAGTATTTTTCCTAAATGCTTCAGGTTTTAGAACCGTTAAGTATCCAGCATAGAGCAAGAGCAAGGGTGCCGTCTTTTAAATCATTAACTTGAGAATCTCAGGACAAATAAGAATGTGTGTGTGTGTCAAGCATTTCCTCATTAGCTAACCTACAGTGCGGACAGAGGCTACAAGGGGCTACCCACCATCAAAGCTGTGAGGAGCTTATCCCAGCCACATGTTCTGTTAACAGGATTGTTACCAGGTAGTAACTTTCATGGATGCTGAATATAATGAATGATGTAATTTTAAGCCGTTCCAGTTTAATTCCCCTAAAATTACATCAGGATTCTGGAATGTTACAACCCTTCCCTGACTAAAGGACAACAGGATGAAACCTCTGCCGATACTTCATTTCCACTGAGGTCATGAGGCATATTTCTTTAAAGTGTGGGATCCTCTTAACACACCACGATGGCCAGTTTAAAACCTCATCCAACTTAAGCATAGGTAGATTCTGATTCTGCAAGCTTTGCTGAAAAGAATTGG